TCAATTTTATATTCTTATCCTAGACATCTTCCTTCAGTCATTGGTATTTACTACCACTTGATTTACTAAGAAGATGGCAAAAAGATATAAATCTGTAGCAAACACATATTAAAAGAAACAAATTCTGAAATTGCTGAGCACTTAATTTCACAGCTTCTTATTTTCCAGGAAATATACTTCTAATTGTAATGGCATATTTTATATAGAAACGCATAGTTATAATTTCTTCTGATAAAATTGTGCCTGGTTGGTAGCATGAATTAAATATGTCAATATTTTATAGTGTTCCTACTGAATGACCATCATATTCAAGTACTTTACTGCCAAAATAAATTTGGAAACAACCAAGTATATATAAGCAAGTGTTAAATGGAATGAGCAACCAATTTAATCATTTTTAAAATCTATATCTATCCTGACATTCCACAAAGGCTGTGAGGCTCCTAGTGCTACAAACAAATGCTCAGAAAATAAGGTATTTCAATGAGAGTACATTAGTCTAAAAACATTTTCTTAAAGCATGTGGTGTTTAAAATAAAAATTGAAGGATAAATCAAATTAGGAAAAAATGCTTTAGAAATGCAAAGTGACCCAATACTTACTTTTATGGCATCTGGTGGTAAGGGGTATTAATGTTTACAGCCACATTCTTAGTATTATTGTTTTTCAAATTAAGGTACATTGGTTTAAAAAAATGTAAGCTACCAAAACATAGAAAGAATAAAATAACTCTATTACTTGAGTGAGCTACCACTCACATTTTGATGTATTATTTTCCGTGCATTTTTAAAAGTTATGGCCATCCATCTACACAATTTTGTATCTAGGCTTTTTCAGTTAAGATGTGAAATTAACTTTTTCCATGTTATTAAAAAAAATCTGGCTGGGCGCAGTGACTCATGCTTGTAATCCCAGTACTTCGGGAGGACGAGGCGGGCAGATCACGAGGTCAGGAGTTCGAGAACAGCTGACCAACATGGTGAAACCCTGTCTCTACTAAAAATACAAAAATTAGCCGGGCATGGTGGCAGGCGCCTGCAATCTCAGCTACTCAGGAGGCTGAGGTAGCAGAATCGCTTGAACCCGGGAGGCAGAGGTTGCAGTGAGCCAAGATGGGGCCACTGCACTCCTGCCTGGGCCACAGAGTAAGACTCTGTCTCAAAAAAAAAAAAAAAAAAAAAAAAAACAAATCTGTGCTTATGATATCTTTAAAGACTGCATAGTATTCCACTGTACAGTCATACTGATCTATACACCAATTTCCTTATTGTGGTACTTTTACATTGAAGTTTATAGTTTTTCACTATTATAAGTCTGAGATGAACAGGGAAGGTGATGTTATTGTTTCCCTCTTCCCATTTCACCCTTTTTGTAGTCACCAGATCTTGCTCTATCCTCAATCAGTCAATGTGGTCTGGGGAGGACTGACCCAGCTCCAGGACTGGGAGCTGAGTGGTTTAAGTTAGTCAGTGTAACCCAAGCTCCTGGCCATGGAGTATGGTTCAGAGAATGGGATTACAACCATTTTTAAAAGTCAATATGTTCCCATGACATTATTTATTCAAAAACTTCATTGTCCGAGGTAGAATTACCATATGGGGCACCACAATGTCTTCCAATGTATCAGATAAACACATCATACAAAATTCTGGTTGGACTCGTTAAAGGGCACAGTGGGAGAAAAAGAGAAGGAGCCTGACCTGTTTGGAGAATAAAAAAGAAAAGAAGGGCATTATTTCTCTGGACAGATTTTACGCCCAGAAAAAAAGCTGGTGAAATAAGAATCGGCATATACAAGCAAATTTATTGAAGTTTATGATACATACATCTCATAATTGTATATTTCTTTCGTACACTTTAAATCCTGTGACAAAAAGGCTATACAATATTTTAGAAATTATGCTGGATTACTAAATATTAGCAGAACTGAAATCCTCAAGAGAAACCAGATTACCGAAGGTTGTTCGATGCTTGTTTTACATACAACCTCAGCTCATAAGCTCAAGGACTGATACAGAAAGAGGGTAATCACTTAAGAACTTGAAATCAAGGAAAAGTATCAACTTATATCAGAAGGATGTCCAATTTAAGCTGTCCAGAACTATATCAAAAGCTGGAAGATATGGTCACACTCTTGTGGAGTTTGAATGGATGTAGTGAATAATGGAATCTTCAAGTCTTTATTGACAAAAAGAACCCTAAATGAATAAAAGTTTTTGAATCTCTGTCCTTTTACCAAGTGACAAACAGTACTTGTGACAGTAAGATATATAGACACTCATTGACTTATGGTGGGGTTACATAAGTCAAAAATGCACTTAAGGCCGGGCACAGTGGTTCATGCCTGTAATCCCAGCACTTTGGGAGGCTGGGGCGGGTGGATCACTTGAAGTCAGGAGTTTGAGATCAGACTGGCCAATACGGTGAAACCCTGTCTCTACTAAAAATACAAAAATTAGCCGGGCGTGGTGGGGGGCACCCATAGTCCTAGCTACTCAGGAGGCTGAGGCAGGAGAATCGCTTGAACCCGGGAGGTGGAGGTTGCAGTGAGCCAAGACTGCACCACTGTACTCCAGCCTGGGCAACAGAGTGAGACACTTGACAAAAAAAAAAAACAAAAAAACAAAAAATTAATACCCTGATAAGCCCAAAAGTAAGGTCAAAAACTTCTAAGTCGAACCATCATAAGACAGGAACCGTCTGTATTTGTAGGTATAGTGTAGGCTGATAGAGTTTGGGACCTCAGAGATTAAACTAAAGGAATTCATCTATGAGCCATTGGGAGACATATTTAAGTTTACCAATAATATGAAGTTTTAAATTGGCATGCACGGAGACTTTAGGTGCACATGCAGTGGTGGTGAAGGCTTTACTTTAAACCCAAGTCACTTAGCACAGTGTCTATACTATTGTTACCTGCTTCAATGGTCAGCAGGTTGCCAGTGTTTTATTTTATTTTTAGTGACATGGTCTTGCTCTATCACCCAGGGAGAAGTGCTGTGGCACGATTATAGCTTACTGCAGCCTCAACCTCCTGGATTAAAGCAATCCTCCCATCTCAGCCTCCCAAGTAGCTAGGACTACAGGAATTCGCCACCATGCCCACTAATTTTTTTCTTTTTTGAGAGATGGGGGTCTTACTATGTTGCCCAAGCTGGTCTTGAACTCCTAACCTCCAATAATCGTCCCACCTTGGCCTCCCAAAGTGCTGGGATTACAGGCATGAGCCAACATGCCTGGCTGCCAGTATTTTATATACTGCTTCCTGAAACACTTGAATAGCAGTTTTGACCCTTGTTAACAGGAGAAGGTGGATTGGCGTGCCTTATGAAAGATCTACTAAAAAGAAAAACAATAAAGCAGGTGCAGGAAATCTATAAATAGAATAGAACAAGACCAAAGGAGGGATTGAGACATGGATCTACATGCCATGTGGATCCAGTCATTTCCTACAATGATCTGAAAATTTGGCTTTGAGTTTCCTGCCAGCCAAGGCAAGAGTAACAAGAGCACTTAAGACAATGATTCATGCTATCTGGAAGAAATAGGAATATGTGTTTTTCATTGGGGTGGGGGAGGGAGGGAAATTTCCACATATGAACATTTGGTACGTAATTAGTTTCGGAGGTCTCTAGGCTACCATTGTAACTAACAATGATTACCTTTCTTTATATGGCACGCAATACTTTGCAGAGAAATTTCACATACTTTCTTTACACAAAAATCCTGTGAGGTAAGATTCGAGGATATTATTAAAGCAATAATGTAACCCTCATTCATTTATCTAAGAACCTAGTCTAACTGGAAACGCAACACAAAAAATAGAAAATAAGCAGAAAGATCTCTGAGATAGCAAACCAAATAGCAGTAAGTGTATGCACGGAAAAGAGCCTCTCACTCAGAACCTATATTCTCTTATTTAACCTGAAATTCTAACAAGGTTAATTTCCTTCCTAAAACCGCAGTGGATTAAAAGTAACAAAACAAAAACCATTACAGAGAAGCACTCTGAAAGCCTCCTAGATGAGTACACAGGAGAGCAGAGGCAAGAACTAAAAACAATCAAAAGAGCAGTTAGCGCAAAAACAGAAAACTCTAAACACTCACTAAGTAGGATAACCTCAGACTCCCTCGGCCCTGGATCCTGACCCTCCACGAATCAATTCCTCACAAGCCACCTCAGCGATCTTTCAGGAATCGAAATGTGATCCTGCTTGCCTGCTCCCAACTCTTGGCAACCCTTCATTGACTTTCCAGGCTCATAAGACAACATTATTATTTAAAAACGGTCCACAAGGTCTCCTGAGGTTCTGATTGCTGCCTGCCTCTCCAGCTTCATCTCACTTCGGCCCCACCTGCTTGGGCCTTTTGACATTTCCTTCGCTTTACCTGGAAGTGTCTCACTGCTGCCTCTTCTGGGGGATCTGAAATGTCGTTTCCTTAGAAAGCCTTACCTAGTCCTGGAGTCTACATTAGGTTTTCCCGTGCACCTTAGCGCCTTTGCGGTTGAGAATTTATCACAGTTGCACTTTGTCTGATTGTTTTATTTGTTTGTTTGTTTTTTGAGACGCCAAGGCTGGAGTGCAGTAGCGCGATCTCGGCTCACTGCAACCTCGCCTCCCGGTTTAAGCGATTCTCATGCCTCAGCTTCCCCAGCAGCTGGGATTACAGGCGTGCACCACCACGCCCGGCTAATTTTTGTATTTTTAGTAGAGACAGGGTTTCGCCATGTTGACCAGGCTGATCTCAAACTTTTGGCCTCAAGTGATCTGCCGTACTCGGCCTCCCAAAGTGCTGGATTACAGGCGTGAGTCCCCGTGCCTGGCCAGTCTAATAGTTGAATACCTATTTCCTTCAGTCTACTGTGAGCTCTGGTGGAAAAGGACCATATCTGGCCCGTACATATGCCAAATAAGTATTCACTGGAAAAAAAAATGAGTAATGTCACAGGACAAGCATACATCTTCCTAGTATATAATCTTAAATTTTACTAAAAGATCTTTTTGAGAAGATAGCTGTTTTATTAAAGAAAAAAAATTACGAAGTACAATGCAGAATTCATACGAATATTAAAGCTAAAACAAGACTTTCAGAATGCTTTAGGCTACACCCCCAGACTTCTCTGGAGACATTAGTGCTTAAAATACTATGGAAACATGGTGTGGTAAAAGATGCATTTCCCAAGGGATCTGGATAACCAGCGCTTATCCTCATTTTACTGGAGGAGAATATATGTCTGGAAGGTCTTTGCAAACTACTAGGCTTTGTGCGTTATAACATTATTATGGAAAAATCTGTGTTTCTAAGACGGGGAATGATTTAGTTATTGCATTGCTAATTACAGGTGGGACTAGCGCCAGAGCCCAGGCCTCTCGGGGCCTGTCTAGCCCACAGCTTTTCATTAATGCACAGCACCTGCCACCTGGTCCCTGCTGCAAAGGGTGGCCTCTCGAGCTAGGAGCCATATCTAGGGCGGATAGCCTATGCTAGGCTCAAAGACACTCTTAAGTTCCGATCAACCAGAACTGAGGAGCGGGTAGGAAAACCAAGCCGAGCCTTCCCCGGCTTCACAATCCGCAGGCTCTCCGCTGTCCGTGGCGGGACTGGGCAGTTTCCCTGGGGAACTGCAGCCCGGCCCGCTTCGCTCAGGCCCAAGCCCGGACGGCTCTCCCCCTGGCGGGGAACTCGCAGCACTGCGGCGTATTCCGGAGACGCCGTCAATCTCCGGATTTGAAGCGCAGGCGGTATCTAAGGGGCCTGGGAAGCGGGAAAGCTCGGGAGTCACTCACGAGAGAACACCCTGCAGGAGTCGACCCAGCTGCCTGGCTTCGTGGTCCTGCAGCGTGGCCCGTTGCTTCGCGCAGAGGTTGGCCACAGCTCCTGGCTAGGAAACTGGGGACCCCTTGGTTTGCCACCGAGGAGGGTGGAGGTCCCCGTCAGTCCCCTCGGGGATGCAGCCGCATTTTCCCCTCCGTGCGTCTGGCCGGGAGCCAGAGGATAGGGCTGTGGAACACAGGCAGGGCGGGCCCTTCGGAACCCGGACGCGAGGGGAGGCGAGAGGCGCCGGTGTCCCGCACGCCCACCGGCGCCGACGCAGGAGAGTTGCGGCCAGCGGCCCACGGAGGACGCCGGCGACGCCGCCGCCTCGGGCTCGCGGGCCGCGCGCGCACGCGAGTGGGCGTGGGAGGCAGGGGCGCTACTAGCAGGCGGCGTGCGCGCGCGCGCTCCCCCGCGCCCTCCCTCGCAGGCCCGCCCGGCCCCGGCGCGCGTCACGAGGGGAAAGCTAGAGAGCTGGAGGGCGGGAGAGAGGGTGGGGAAAGGGGGTGGGGCCGCGGGACCGGAGGGTTCCGAGCGGCGGCTGCAGAGCCGGAGCTGGGCGAGGGCGGCTGCGGTCCCGGCGGCGGCGGCGGCGGCTGCGGCGGGAGAAGATGGTGGCGCTGGAGGTAGCAGCGGCTGGAGCGGAGCTTTATTCCCAGGCTTGGCACCAGCGCTGTCACTAGCGCCGCCTGCTCCCGCGGGCCCGCGGACCCAGCTGTCAGGCAAGGTACCACAGCCAGGGAGGGGTGGGTGAGAAGGGGTGCCAGGCGCTGATGCGGCCCCCGAAGGAGCCCGGGTCCTAGCCAAAGGGCGCCCCCGGACGCGAGAGGGGCTGCCTGGAACAATAGTGCGGAGGAGCGGGGGCAGCAGGCGACATCCAAGGGGCAGTGCCTGGAACCATCAGCCAGCGAGGCGGGGTAAGGCGGCGTTGCGGGCGAGACGGCTGGGGTCCGGTGCCCGCTCGGATGCCAGGCTTCGGGCGCAGCAGGCGGGCCTGATGACAGTCATGGCAGGAGTGAGTGTGTGAGAGTGTGTGTGTAAAAGGTACAGCAGAGGGGATGGGGGTGGCAGACGGAGGTGTTGGGGGGTGACATTTCCAGGAATCCCCGCTAGGATCCCTCATCTCTCGGCTGACTCTCCTGGAGAAAGAATGTGATGATGGAAACGGTGAGGTGGGCAGGATGCACTTGGTGTGTGAAGTGTGGAGGGAGGCAGTGGGGTGGGGCGGGTTTGTAAAATTCTGTGTATGTGTGTGTACGCGTTTGGTTGCATCCACGTTCCCCAAACAGCGCCCCAAACCCAGAGATCTGCCGCTGCCCTGACTTGATGTCACCGGCTAAGGCTGTGGTACAGTGTTTGTTATTTTGACCCTGCAACTCTGAGCAGTCTCTGTTCTGCTCCTGAGTGTGGATGGCCCAGTGTAGGGATTCTCGCTTCCCCTTCCTCTGGCCTCATGACATGGGGATGTGAAAGTGAGCATGTTGCTTTGAGGCACATGGCAGGGAAATAGGATAACCGTTACGCATTCTGGGCTTGCTGGTGTACCCGGTTTTGAAGGGGGCTTCCATCCTCTGATACTACTTCTCTGCTTAGCACCTGTTCCATAAGGGTCTTGTACTCCCTGACTCTGCAGTTTCTATTGTTTTTCTCTTGTCTGACCTGAAGGAGAATAGTGTTGAATGATCAGATTTCTCTTCCTGTCCCCACAACTTTCAATGCTAGCTAGACCTTCTCCTTCCACATTTAAGCACTGAAAACCTTATGGCTAGAGGATGGATGGTCTTTGTATTGGTTCTTTTAGAATGAACTCTGGAGGTGTGTACGTATAGAAAGATGCGGTGGGGCGGGGGGCAGTCTTTAAAAAAGAAGAAAAATATCACACGGAGAAGTGTTTGGTGCCCACCTGGTCAGCGTCGCACAGCCAGGGCGTTTTCCTCAGGAAACAGGATACTTTATTTCTACTGCTGGTGACATCCACTCTCCCAGCTGTCACAATAGCTAGGTGGTGCCGTGTATCATTTGGAAACTGAAATCTCCCAAGACCCACAGTGATGGGGTCCCAGGTCAGTAAAGTCCCTGTTTCCTACCTGATATAGCCCACTAGTAGGGAATTTGGAAAAATGTCAGGCTGGCAATAACTCACCCAGTGGGAACAAGGACACATAAATGCATCGAGTCTATGGCTGTTTAATTGTCTCTGCGTGGTAAAGATAGGTGTGTGTAGGGTTGGGTAGAGATAGGCAGGAAGATGGCATATTCATGTGTATCCAGGGCAGTGTGATTCCTTCTCGCCTGTATTTCTCCTGCGGTATTCATGAGTATCTCGACACTTCTGTATTAAAATGTTGTATGTCTAGCTTAACCTGTTTAGGACATATTTTAGTCATAACACCTTAAATTCTACTGCATTGCTATCGGAATCCAAACTGGCTGCCCGGTTCTCTTCAAAAAGCCCGTAGCAGTCATGGCCACACAAGTAAATATACAACATGTTGGCACCAGAGGTTTCTTTTTCTTTTTTAAAATTTTTGTTTTGCGTTCTTTTATGGCAAAGGTTGCACGATATCGTTGTTTCATTGAAAATAATAAAACTAGGACTATCCACATATGCTTTTTTTCTTCCCATATATCTTATTTAATGATATATAGACTAGGTGTTCTTGAGGCTGTCAATGTAAAGTAAATTTCCCCATGTTCTTCAAGTCAAGCCTTCTAAGATTTTAATATGAGGTTGGTTGTTGGCTCTCGTCCAAGATTTAAGGATCGATTTATAAAAATGAATTTTGAATCTTAGTTCTTTACTCTCTTATTCGTTATGCCAAATCCCTTTCTGAGAAAAGTACTTATGGAATTTAAAAGCCATTCTAAGAGGTTTTGGTTTAAAAAAAAAAAAAAAGTCATCATCTTTTATATTTGCAAGTAAGACCAGGGATGTAAATGTCTTACTAGAAAGTTTAATAATATGAGGAATTACCAGGTAAATACACTGTTTAGAGAAAGAGGAATTACACAGCAGCACAATGGATGACTCAGGAATCAGTGATTTCTTATCTAACATAAATGTGATCATTTTTATTTTTATTTATCTTTTTGAGACAGGGTCTTCCTCTGTCGCCCAGGCTGGAGTGCAGTAGTGTGATCATAGCTCACTGCAGCCTCAAACTCCTGGCTCAAGCAATCCTCCTGCCTCAGCCTCCTGAATAACTGGGACAGTAGGCACATGGCACCACACCCAGATATTTGTTTATTTTTTTCAGAGATAGAGTCTCGCTACGTTGCCCAGGTTGATAGTTTTAAAAATGCAATATCTGGCTTTTCTAAAGATTGGACTGGTATAAGGTTCATGAGACAGCTCTGGTAAATGGTTGTACCTTTTGCTGTGGCCTACAGCAAGCCATTTTTTTGTGCATGGATGCCTTTCCTTCACTTAAAATAGCATCAGTGCTTTTCTCTACCATTATTGAGTCTCTTAAGGATTTTTTTTGTTATTTGTTTTGTTTTTTGTTTTCATTTTGGTTGTTGTTATTGTTTGTTTGTTTCAGAAGACTTAGGAGTAAGAGATATTTGAAAATGACCTCTGGGGCCAAAAGGAATTAACTGTAGTACCTTGGGGAGATAGGACTTTTAGCCTACAAAGAAGAAGTAATTGTTGCTAAAACTGAGAGAATTTCAAGCAATGAAATCTGAAGTTAACTCTCTGGGTTACAATAATTAATTTGCAAACATCTTGCCTCCTGCATCTCAGACCCACTGTACCTTTGGATAGGGGACAGGGAATGTTGAGAAAAGTTGGAGATTCAAAGAATGCTAAGTCTTAGATCCTGCCCAGAGGTGGATCTTGGTCTAGAAGGAGAAAAGAGGAATATGTGTTACTAGCTGTAAAAATAGTGAAAAAATGATTAAGTGCTGAAAAAGCAGTATTCCCGCAGGGCTGTGGGAATTCACAGGGTACAAAATGACTTCTGATGGAAGAATCAGGGAAGGTTACATGGGATATAGCATTTGAGCTGTGATTAAGGTGGCATTTGGGTTGGCAGAGAAGGAAGGGCATGCTTGGGGGAGGAACAGCGTAGCACAGGCCTGGCAGTGGAAGGTGTATGCCTACACAGGGAACAAAAAAATGGTGTGCTTTGGCTGCAGCGCTAGGAATGCCAAGAGATGTAATGAGGGATAAAGCAAGAAAGAGAGGTTTGTTCAAGGTGGTGGAGCAACTTGTACGCCAAGCTAAGGAGTGTGGATTTTGTTCAGTAAGGACTGGGGAGCTATAGAAGATTTGTGAGGAGAAAGATTGACAGTATCAGAACTGTGCTTTGGGGCAATAATTTTGTAGTATTATGATGGATGGAATGACATGGGAAAAGACTGGCAGGAGGGAGACCAGATAGACCCTTTTGTCAAAGTAGGGGAAAGATGGAAAGAGGCAGTGGGAGGGAAGAAGGGAACACACCTAAGAGGTGGTGTGCAAGAATTATCTGAGGAGCTTGAACAGTCACTGGAGAGTGGGAGGGAAAAGGGAGGCCAAAGATCATTGTCAGGCTTAGCTGAGAGAGCAGTTGGGTCATTTTCAGAAAGAAGATATAACAGAGGATAAGGAAGAGGAGAGAAGTTTCTTTTTGAGCATGACAGGCTTATCCAAGTTAAGGGACTAGAATACAGAGGGAGGTTGGAGCTACAAGGAGATTTGTAAGTCATCTACTTAGGAGTGATTTTGATATCCCAGGAATCACTGATAAAGAAAATGAAGAAAGAAGCAGCAAAGGTAAGGATAGGATCCTTGAGGGATGTCCGTATGTTGGAGGGGAAAGAGAAAGAAGAGGACAGGAACCGTGTTAAACAAGGGCAGTTGGAGAAAAATGATGGAAGTAGAGTGGTACAGTGTCATGAAAGCTGGCAGGGGTGAGGAGAGCCCCTGTCACTCACACAGCACACCCAATGGGTGAGGGTGCAACCAAGGCAAAGCCATTGGATTTGACTCTTGGCTTTCCTCCATTGTCTTTGTGGTAGGTGGAAGTGGCAGCCAGGGGCAAGGGTTGAAGGGAAGGGTGGGGGAAGGGAAATGGAAAGCAGTGAGAACAGACTTCATTTTCAGTAAGTTGGGGGGTAAAGGAGAAGGAGAGAGAGTATGATATATCAAAACAGTGGTGTAGTAGAGGGAAAGTGGTATTTTTAGTTTAGGAAGACTTGAGCCCGCTTTATAAGCTGAGGAGTACAATCCGTTGAGGAAAAAAGAGATTGAAAATGAAAGGGAGAGGCTCAGTTGAGGGAATTAAGTCTTCAAGAAGATGGGAGTATACTAGATGAAAGCAAAGGAAGGATTCTTTTGAGACAGAAGCATAGGAATTTCCAGGTGGAAAGAAAGGAATTCGGCCACAGTCTTTTAAGTGAAGTCAAAAGAGAAATGGGCAGGTTGAAGCCAGGAGTAGAATGACAAAGACTTGTGGGCATTGTGGAAACAGAGCAGTGAGTCATTTAGGAGTGAATAAAAGATCTTTACCCAACCATGAGGACCTCATGTGTTTGAAAAGCATGAATTTATAGTGAAACCAGTTAACACTATATAACTGGAGTTTGACAACTACTTAAGTAATTTTTGTATAGTGAGCATTTGTGGTTCTTCATTCCCTTAAATGCAGTAAAAAAGAATAGAATGTTTATCTTTAAAATTATCTGAATAAAAGACTCCACTTGTATTTCCTGTAAATATTCTCTCTCAGAGATCTGAGCTAAATTTTAAGAAGTTTATAGTAAAACAATGGGGAAAAATGTAAATTGTTTTTTAAAGGATGAGCTTTTTCTATCTATAATGGTAGAATATGATTTTACTTTACATGTAAAGTCAGTTTTCAAAAGAAAAATCAAATATAGCACCTCACCCAACACCATATTAATATGCAGATATTAATATGCATTCAATATACATATGTCACGTGAATACATGAATAAACTTTTTTTTAAGTAAGCTAGCTACACTATCTAAAATTTTAAATTTCAGGATTTCATTCTTATACAATGGACATTGAATGAGTTGCATTTTGTGGCCTGTACAAGTTTATGATAGAATTAAAACTATTTATTCATACCTGATATATACATTGAAACTTTATTTTTAAAAACTCCACATTTTTCACAAAATAATTGTGAACCCTTTAGATCCTTGAGTTATGGGATTATGTCATGATTCCAGGTGAGTTTATGGAACTTCAACTGTAATGAGTGGTGGGTTTTGAGGTTTTAATGATGAAATTTATTCATTTCTTCAACATGTACTCATTGAACACTTTCTCTGGGCCAGAAACTATTCTAGGTGCAAGGAATATAGAGGAGGGGGGGGGATATGTCCTTAATATTACAGAGCTTTTAGTGGAAGGAGATTAAAAATAAGTAAATAAGCAATTACATAATATGCCAGGTGGTAAGTGCTGTGATGAAGAATAAAACAGAGAGAGCAATAGACTGACAATAGTGGGTGGGGGGTGATGTTATTTTATATAGGATGGTCAGGGAAAACCTTAAGCAGAAGAGCTTAAAGATGTGAAGTAGTAAGCCCTGCAGATATTTGGGGAAGGGCCTTCTAGGCAGAGAGGATATCAAAAATGAAAAGACTGGATAGGAATATGTTTGGCATCCTCAAGGGACAGCGGGGGAACCTTATTGGTTTCCTCAGTTTACCCGGACATGGTATCACTCCTGATAGATGGAGCAGTCATTTAGGGAATTCACAATAAAATGCTTTGCCTTTCATTTTGAATTGGTTGCCCATAAGGCTGTATTACCATCTACTGTATTTGGTCTGACCTATGAATCAGTGTTGGGTTTATAAAAAGATGAATGTCCTCAATCAAATATATTTAAGTTAGAAAACAATCATCTCTGTAATCCCAGCACTGTGGAAGGCTGAGACAGGAAGATCACTTGAGGTCAGGAGTTCGAGACCAGCCTGGCCAACATGGTGAAACCCTGTCTCTACAAAAAATACAAGAATTAACCAGGCATGGTGGCGCATGCCTGTAGTCCCAGCTATTTGGGAGGCTGAGGCAGGAGAATAGCTTGAACCCAGGAGGCAGAGGTTGCAGTGAGCCGAAATCATGTCAGAAAACAAAGTGTGATTCTGTCTGGATAGTGATGAAATACTAGTCAGCTGGAAGTAGTTCTGCTCCTTGGAACTTACGTCTCTTCTGTGGTCTGAATCTTCTTTAAATATTGCTTTCTTTTCTTCCTCCTTGTTTCGTGTTCCATTCTCAAGTGTAAGGTCCTTGAGGCTAGAACTTTGTTTTGTTCATCTGGGTATACTCTGTAACACAAAATGACTCTCTGCATTAGTAAGGGATCATCAAATACAGAGAGAAATTGATGAGAAATTTCCAAAGATTTAAGTAACTCAGGTGTAAAGAATGAGGGTAAAGCTCGTTTACCTTGATTTCTGCAGATAGGTAGCTATTTTTCAGAGGACACAGAATTGCCACATGATGCTAAAGCAGTTTATGCATGCAG